GAGTGAAACTCCGTCTCAAAAAAAAAAGAAAAGAAAAGAAAAGAAAAAGAACAATTGAAATATTTCACCTAAAAAAAGGTGAAGGAGAAAAAGAGAATTTCACATCTAAAGTTTTTGTTTCCTTTAGAAAACCACAGCCCATTGTCAGTTGATTTGTCCAAAGGTATCTGACAGGCACCAATACACTTAATGAATCAGTCAGGAAAAATGGGCCTCTCCGGTGACAAGGAGTCACAGGGTACCTAAACCCAATCCATTCTCAGCTTTCCATGGTGACCCCTCAAGAAGTGATGTGAACCATATGAACCACATTCACTGGACAAGGCCAGAGGAAAGCATGTTTAGGAAAACACAACCACGAGGCTGCAAATCACACTGGGGCAGGAAGCACGCAGGAGTTTCTATGGCCACGACACTGGTGGCTGTCCCTCCGTGTCACTCAAACTTCAACGTGAAAGACATCTTTTCCCAGTTGACTCAGAGAAACTAACAGACATTAGAATTGGAATGTGTTGGTTTTCTATTTTTCAGAATTTCTAAGACATGAAGGACGATCCAAACACTCCAAAGGACATTTAGCTATACATGAGGCTGAGGACCTGGCTGCTCTGGAGAGGGATGGCTGAGCAGCAGCCACCATCTGTAATTGCTGTGAAGTCCCCTCACATAGGATCAGGTCACCTCCACACACCCTCTCTTACTTCTCAGGCTCTGTCCCTGAGGTCTAGCTGGGGTATTGCCTTCCTCCCATCTCAAAAGCTCTCCAAGAGAGTCCAGCTTCTTATAAAAGCTACCCTAGAATGGCAAGATATAGGCCCTCCTCCATTCTCCCAGCACAGCAGGACTTCTGGAGAGTGCTGGCTAATGCCTTTACCTCAAATCACCTGACAGGCGCAGTTAGATGTTCAGTGAGCTAACAGGTCCAGCATGCCCAGGGCCTAGCCCCACAGCCTAGCATTTCTCCTCCAGCCTTTTTCCTTCTTTTTTTTTTGAGATGTAGCCATGCTGTTGCCCAGGCTGGAGTGCAGTGGTGCAATCTCAGCTCACCACTATTTCCACTTCCCAAATTCAAGCAATTCTCCTGCCTCAGGCTCCCGAGTAGCTGGGATTACAGGTGTATGCAATCACACCAGGCTAATTTTGTATTGTAGTGGAGGCAGGGTTTCACTATGTTAGCCAGGTTGGTCTTGAACTCCTGACCTCATGATCCACCTGCCTTGGCCTCCCAAAGTGCTGGGATTACAGGAGTGAGCCACCACTCCAGGCCTTAGCCTTTTTTCTTCTGTCACAAATGACAGGTGATGTTCACCTGTGTCACACTCTCATGAGCCTAGTAAATGGTGTGGGTAAATTCCAACTGAGTGCCTGTGACTCCACACTCTTACTTCCCATTCAACTGGCATTATAAGTATAACTGTCAATATGATCTAATTTACACATATTTCTCTCTTAGTAACATATCTGACAACAGCCCTCACAATCAAATGAGACTGGGTTACAGAACACACAGGGAAGGCTGGAGCAGCAGTTTATAGAAACTTACTTTATTCTAATGCAATATAAAAATGGGATGTTTTAAAAACAAGAAAACATTTTTAATCGGCTGTGGGGATGCTACACTTGCTAGTTCATGCCCACTCCCTTTAAAACAAGGTATCTGGGCAAACTATATTCACAGGTAGCTTTTTGCAAAACCCCAGGCAGAAGCCCCAGTCAGACACAGTTCCCTCAGGCTCACAGGGTGGCACCCTCCTTCTCCATGCTAGGGCTCTGACAGCAGGCAAGTGAGGGAGCACAGGCAGGTGGGGACATAGAGAGCAGCCTGGGCCTCAGGTGATCCGCCCACCTTGGCCTCCCAAAGTGCTGGGATTACCGGTGTGAGCCACCACGCCCAGCCCTGCTTTTCTTTTCTTTCCTTCTTTTTATTTTTTTTGAGAGGGAATTTCACTCTTGTTACCCAGGCTAAAGTGCAATGGCACGATCTCAGCTCACCGCAACCTCCGCCTCCTGGGTTCAAGCAATTCTCCTGCCTCAGCCTCTCGAGTAGCTGGGATTACAGGCGCGCGCCACCATGCCCAGCTAATTTTTGTATTTTTAGTAGAGACGGGGTTTCACCATGTTGACCAGGATGGTCTCGATTTCTTGACCTCGTGATCCACCCGGCCTCCCAAAGTGCTGGGATTATAGGCGTGAGCCACCGCGCCCGGCCCCCTGCTTTTCTTTTAAAATCCCAGGTTGCCTACTCAAAAGACCAGAGGCCAGAAAGCTTATGAAATGTTAAATATTACAATAACTGTTATTACCATGTTTCCATTTGTGAGCAACATCCTTTCCCGTTTCAGCACAGCGGCTTTAGCCCCAGCCTGTACCCCTCTTTGCACGGCTCTGCACCCGCAGCCCCGCATCTTCCCCAGGTTGTGAGGCAATGAGGAGAAGGTCATCAAGGAAAGACGCCGACTGGGTGTGCAGGGCTCCAACACAGAAAAAGCTGTGGTCTGTGGGGTCCCCAGTCGCTATTTTAACCTTTTTTTTTTTTTTTTTTTTTTTTTTTAAAAGGGGTTTTCCCTTTTTTTTTTTTTTTTTTTTTTTATGAAAACGGGGTTTCACCATTTTGGTCAGGATGGTCTTGAACTCCCAACCTCAGGTGATCCGCCCGCGTTGCCCTCCAAAGTGCTTGGATTACAGGCGCGAGCCACCACGCCCGGCCTATTTTACCCTATTAAAAAAATATACGTGTATGAATAAAATTTATCAATTGCATAACCTTCTACACAAGTTTTGTTTCTCTGTTTTTTTGAGATGGAGTCTCACTTTCTTACCAGGCTGGAATGCAGTGCGGCGCGATCTCGGCTCACTACAACCTCTGCCTCCCGGGTTCAAGCGATTCTCCTGCCTCAGCTTCCCACGTAGCTGGGACTACAGGTGCGCATAACCATGCCCCGCTAATTTTTGTATTTTTAGTAGAGACGGGGTTTTACCATATTGGCCAGGCTAGAATAGTCTCGAACTCCTGATCTTGTGATCCACCCACCTTGGCCTCCCAAAGTGCAGGAATGAGAGGCCTGAGGCACCAAGCCCGGCCTACACAGGATTTAAAAATAAGCCTGGGTACAGGTGGACCCAGCGCAGAGAGAAAGCCCTTATTGAAAATGTCTGAAGCCAAAAGCCTGTCACTCTCGCCTTATTCAATGCAACGTCTGGTCGCATTTTCTGTCACTCCAGAACTGAGGGCGTGGACCCGGAGCTCTATCCATTGAGGGCGCCGGGGAGGGAACTGTCCAATCAGGTTCACAGTCAGAGAGGAAGGGGCGGCTCCCAGTATCTGGCGGGGACTTTGTCTCTGGCTCCACTCGGAGATCAGTTTACTTCTTCGCTTCCATGTGTTCTCTTTCCCGGAGGTCTCAGTGATTCTGCCACAGCCTCAGCTCCCATCGCTCTGTGACTTCATGGTGTTGGAAGATTCATAGACTCCAGGACATTTCTGAAGCCGAGAAATGGTGAGTGTGCAAGGCAGGGCGTCGTCCGGAGATTGGGGAGGCCTCTTCAGAATCCCCCAGAAATAGCGGTGGCGGGACGGAGTCTGGGATCGCCCGTTTTTCGCAGCTCAGCCCTCTGTCTCCCCCGGTGCAGGGACCCCGGGGGTCCTGTCCCGTTTCAGCACAGCGGCTTTAGCCCCAGCCTGCAGCCCTCTTTGCGCAGCTCTGCGCCCGCGGCCCCGCATCTTCCCTAGGTTGTGAGGTGATGAGGGGAATATCATCAGGGCAAGATCCTGACTGGGTGTGCAGGGCTCCTGCGTGGAAGGAGCAGTGGTCTGTGGGGTCCCCAGTTCCTGCTTTACCCTGTTCAAAAATAAACTGAAGCACCATTAAGACATTAACGAGTTAATATGGGTGGGCGCGGTAGTTAACGCCTGTAATCCCAACACTTTCGGAGGCCGAGGGGAGGAGGGAGGGGGGAGCGGATCACGAGGTCACGAGTTCGAGACCAACATGACCAACATGGTGAAACCCTGTCTCTACTAAAAATACAAAAATTGGCCAAGAGCGGTGGCTCACGCCTGTAATCTCACCATTTTGGGAGGCCGAGGCGGGCGGATCACCTGAGGTCGTGATTCCAGACCAGCCTGACCAACATGGAGAAACCCCGTCTCTACTAAAAATACGAAAAAAATTAGCTGGGCGTGGTGGCATAGGCCTGTAATCCCAGCTACTTGGGAGGCTGAGGCAGGAGAATTGCTTGAACCTGTGAGGCGGAGGTTATGGCAAGCCAAGATTGCGCCACTATGTTCCAGCCTGGGTGATAGCGAAACTCCGTCTGAAAAACAAGGCTGGACGCAGTGGCTCACGCCTGTAATCCCAGCACTTTGGGAGGCCAAGGCGGGCGGATCACAAGGTCAGGAGATCGAGACCATCCTAGCTAACATGGTGAAACCCCGTCTCTAATTTAAAAAACAAACAAAAAGACATAATATGCACAGTGATTAATCAATGGGACAGTCCCCGGGCGTGGTTTGTGGGTTTGTTCTGTTTTGAGATGGAGTTTCCCTCTTGTTGCCCAAGCCGGAGTGCAATGGCGCGATCTCGGCTTACCGCAACCTCCGCCTCCCAGGTTCAAGTGATTGTCCTGCCTCAGACTCCTGAATAGCTGGGCTCATAGGCACGCACCACCACGCCCAGCTAGTTTTGTATTTTTAGTAGAGACGGGGTTTCTCCATGTTAGTCAGGCTGGTCTTGAACACCCAACCGCAGCTGATTTGCCCACTTCGGCCTCCCAAAGTGCTGGGATTTCAGGCGTGAGCCACCACGACCAACGGTTTGTGGTCTGGGGGCTACCGGAGGGTCTTGAAGAAAAGGCTGCTATACGGCCTGTGGCGAAGCAAAGCAAATTAAATCATTGATCATGTACAGTTAGGTAGTCGCTTCATTTGCAGTGTCCAGGAGAACATGTTTTAGTTATGTAATCAGATTAATAGGAGATTTATGGTTGATTAAGCCTGAATTTTGTTTTCTCTTAAGGTACTAACTTACAAACAAGACATTTGAGCCAGATTTTGTTGTTCTGTTGTTGAATAGAAACCTAGACCACTAGAGCCACTTCAGTGGAATTACCTGCTATTTAATTATTTTAACTTTAATCAGAGGCACTGGTGTCCCCCTGCATTTTCCAAATGTGTGGCAAGTAGGTTCTCAAATCCACTACTCTGTTCTGTTCAGCCTTGTCACATTTGCCAGGCTTGCAGTAAAATCTGTTTTGTTTTGTTTGGTTTTTGCTTTTTGTTTTGTTACTTTTTGTTTGTTTGTTTTGTTTTTTTTTGAGACGGAGTTTCACTCTTGTTACCCAGGCTGGAGTGCAATGGCGCCATCTCGGCTCACCGCAACCTCCGCCTCCTGGGTTCAGGCAATTCTCCTGCCTCAACCTCCTGAGTAGCTGGGATTACAGGCACGCGCCACCATGCCCAGCTGATTTTTTGTATTTTTAGTAGAGACTGGGGTTTCACCATGTTGACCAAGATGGTCTCGATCTCTTGACCTCGTGATCCACCCGCCTCGGCCTCCCAAAGTGCTGGGATTACAGGCTTGAGCCACCACGCCCAGCCTTTTGTTACGCTTTTGAGACAAGTGTCTCTCTGTCACCCAGGCTGGAGTGGAGTAGTGAGATCTCAGCTAGCTGCAACCTCTGCCTCTCAGGTTTACATGATTCTCCTGCCTCAGCCTCCTGAGTAGCTGGGACTACAGGCGTGTGCCACCACTCCCGGCTAATTTTTTGTATTTTTAGTAGAGACAGGGTTTCACCATGTTAGCCAGGATGGTCTAATCTCCTGACCTTGTGATCTGCCTGCCTTGGCCTTCCAAAGCGCTGGGATTACAGGCATGAGCCACTGTTCTCAACACAGCAAAATCTTGAATTTCCAGTTTCTTTCCAACATTCCCCAAAGCCAACTTCTCCCCTTCAATTCACAACATTATCAACTATTTTTTTCCTTTATTGTACCTTTCAGAAACAGTATTTTAATTAATCACTTTTTCACAGAGCAGTGGATGACACTTTTAAAAACACTTGCTTTCTATTTGTAAATATTTTACATGAGAGAAAAGTAAAAAGTAATTCCCTTACATTCCACTGTCAAAAATCTTAACGCTTTTTCTCGTTTTATCTTACATAGGTACCAATGCCTTACCAGGACATCTTTGAATTGAGGTTTTTCTTTGGAAACTTGATGGGGTCATGTATGCTTAGCCACACTCTGGTCTTTTTTTAGTCTTGAGATCTGGAACTGTCTTTAGTATTTCTTTTTTCTTTTTCTTTTTTTTGGGGGGGGATGGAGTCTTGATCTGTCACTGAGGCTGGAGTGCAGTGGTGCAATATCGGATCAATGCAGCCTCCACCTCCTGAGTTCGATTCTCCTGCCTCAGCCTCTTGAGTAGCTGGGAGTACAGGCATGTGATACCATGCCTGGCCAATTTTGTAGTTTTACTAGAGTCAGGGTTTCTCTTTGTTGGTCATGCTGGTCTTGAACTCTCAAACTTCAGGTGATATACCTGACTCAGCCTCCCAAAGTGCTGGGATTACAAGTGTAAGCCATCACGCATGGCCGGGACTTTTTTTTTTTTTTTTTG